GAGGAGGGAAGAGGTGGTCTTTGGAAAGAATGAAGTATTTTTGAGAAGTCCAATTATCGCCTTCCAGCAGTCGAGTTCCGCAGGATCACTTGTCATTCCAGGGCATCTGCCGTAGGGTGACGAGTTGCCTCCACTTGGATGTCTGCCTGGCTCTGAGTTGCAGATCTGTCCCTGGCACCAGTATCAGTGTGTCTTGGGTCAACGGGAGGAGAGCCCTGGGAGAGAGGGCCTGGTGGCCCAGCCCAGCAAAGCGGGGAGAGGTACGCACGTCCTCTCCCATTCCTAGTTCTCAAGAGGTAGGGAGGATGGGTCCTGCCCACTCCTGCAGCCATGGGGCCCAGAGCTGGGGCCACGGAGTGTAACTGAGGTGGAGACTACAAGCTGTCTGGGCATGGTTACGGGGTTGGGCAGAGAGAATATGGCACGAGGTTTAAACAACCAGGGAGATCATGGCAAGCTCACCCCTGAGCACTAAGATAGGGAGGGAGTCGGTGTCCACCCCCTCCTCCATTGCTAACACCAGAGGGGCAAGTGCAGGGAAGGTTGTGTGTGAGAGACCAGACCCTCCTCCCATCCGGGCCACGAGAGCCGTGAGCCAAGCCTGCGCCATGATAAGCACTTTACACTTCGTCAGATGATCAGTATTACTCTTTTTCCCCCTTTATAGAGTGGCATCTGAGGCACAGAGAAGTGAGGAGTCTGGTCAAGGTCACACAGCTAAGAGAAGCAGCTGGAATCCGACCCCGGGCATTCAGAATGCAAAGCCCATGGCCTTGGCCTAAACTATTTTGAATTTGAAATTTATTTTAAAATTGTAGAACCCTGGTGATCATTATTCCATGTCTCAAAGTGACCCAGTAAACAAGCAGGAAGTGCTGTGAAATAGTTTTCCAGAGTCACAGAAGAGTTACAGTGGGGAGTCAGAAAGGGAGAGAGAAAGAGGAACAGAAGAATATGCCTTTTCAGGGTCTAAGTGGATATAAAACAAGAACAGTCACAGACGTGCATGCACACAGGGACACGAATATGATACCTTGTGAGTCTTTAAAAAAATCAGCCACTGGATTTGGGGAGCTAAATCTGTTACACAAATATAAAGTGACATTGCAGGGCTGAGGGGAGTGTCCTTTTAAATTCTACCTTCACCAGGTTCTGATCCTTGCTTCATTCTGTGTGCTTTTCTGCCTTGAGAGCCTGTGTTCTGAGAACCAAGGGCTGGGCTGAGTGAAAGGGAAAGGAAGAGCCCAAAGGCCTGCCATTCTCAGGAGGATGTCTGGTTTCTGGTCCCACACAGGCACCTTCCTTGTCGGGGATTCTGCTGATGTGAACACGGACCAAGGGGGAAAGATTTTTGTTTGAAAACCCTGCCCAATCGAAATCTTAGAATCCACGGGAGGGACATCGGGAAGCCTCTGGTCCTCTGGTCCGCTTCCCCGAAGTTTGGTCCAGCATCCAGCCCTACGGATCCTGCTGGTGTAGGTCTGAAGCGATCCCCAGAACTCATTCTTCTAAAATGTTGCCCAGTTGACCCTCATGTGTCATTGAGCCTGTCTTTTAACACTTTCAATGCTGCAAGTACAGTAACAACCACCATGCCCACTTTTGCTTGGTTAACTCTAGCGATGGGTCTCTCACTACTTCCTGGGGTAGTCCATCATGTTTTTGGACAGTGCTGATTGTTCAAAAATATTTTTCCTTAGTTTGGATAGAAATCCACCTTTTGGTAGCTTCTACCAATTGGTATTGGTGTGGTCCTTCCACCTGAGGTGACTTACTCCTTTAACAGCAGCAGCTGTCATCTCTGCGAGACTGTGAACAGTCTTCGTCCGTCTATGATAAGACCCTCCTGTCCCTGAGAGTTTTCCTAGACCTTGCTGCAGAGTCTGTCTCCTCATGTCCATCACTCACCCTGTGCTGTTGGGGAGTTTTCCTCTCTCTCTTTTTGGTGCTTTGTTCCCCAGACAATAGGAAACCCTTTCCACCTGAGCCCCAGAACCTGAGTCCTCAGTGCCAGGCTCGCTCCATGGCTAGGAGGGGAGTCCTGGTAACACAATTGCCCTTAAAATCCAGTGGGTTGTCCTCTTTGGCATCAAGTGTCCTTTTCATCTTTGACATTCTGTTTTCTGTTCAAATCACTTATTAGCTGTGGTTCTCAAATAGGAGTAATTTTGCCCCCTAGGGGACGTTTAGCAAAGTCATTTTGCTAAATGGACATTTTTGGTTGGAACAACCTGTGTGTGTGTGTTGGCGGCGGGGATGCTCCTGGCAGCTGAGCATACAGTGTGCAGGACGGCCCCCACAGCAAAGAATTACCTGCCCCCAAACGTCATCAGTACCAAGGCCACAAGACCGTAACTTACTAGATAAAAAGCAAAAAATGGAAGCCGGCGAGAGAAACGAGGAGCCTGCGTGGATTGTGTGCAGCCTGCAGCTGTGCTTCTGGGCTCTGCGTTTTGGAGATGAAACGCAGGGAAACAAACCAGCGGGAAGCACCCAGGCCAAGCCAGTGTTTCCAGGGCCTATGAGGGACCCTCACCCTCAAGAAGCCAGAAGGGAGTCACAGATTTTTGCTCCCTGTAGTCTGGGTTTCCCCAAATGTGACATAGTTCTCCCTCATGACATATACTAGAATTTGGAAATAACGTATTTAAGAAAAAAGTGAATGGATTGAAAGAAAATATTAGATAAGTAACTAAACAGCTGGTACCCTGATATGGCAGACTGTAAAATGGTTACAGATGACTGAAGGTTGGTAAATAATGTCTGTGATGAGGCCATTGTCCTGTAGGGAAAAAGTTGCTGGTGTGAAACGGGGCAAAGAGAAGTGAGTGTTCTTTTTGACTCTTAGTGGGTAGCGGGAAGGAGCTGCGATTTGGAAAGAGAGGCAGGAAGACTTACTGTTCTTGGCATTCATCTCAGCACAGGACTCGTTCCTGCCCACTGACTTGCCAGACCAGGTTCTGTAAGCATACGTGGCCCCGTCCATCCACTGCCACTGCTGTGTCTGCAAGAGACAGGAGATGGGAGTCGTGTACAGATCAGTCTGCACACCTGCTCACAGCCGAGGTGTCCCTTCGGGCCCCTTTAAAATACAGTTCTTGACTCAAACATAGAAAATAAACTTATGGTTACTAGGGTAGAAAAGGGGTGGGAAGGGATAAATTGGGAGTTTGGAATTTGCAGACATAAAGTACTATACATAAAACAGATAAACTGTATAGCACAGGGAACTGTATTCAATATCTTACAATAGCCTGTAATGAGAAAGAATACGAAAAGGAATACATATGTGTGTATGTGTGTATGTTTAACTGAACCACTGTGCTGTACACCGGAGACTAACACGACATTGTAAACTGACTATACGTCATTAAAAAAAATACACAGTTTTCATTGTAAGAATTAGGAAAGCATGGAAATGTGTAAAAAGGGAAAAAAAGAAAGTCATTCTGTTTAACCTCCAAGAGGAAAACCTTACTAATAATTTAGTATAGTTACTTTTGGTGTAATTATTTTTACCTATCACAATATTTTTTATCTACTGAAAAATGTGATGACCTTTGAAGTATATATTCAGCTTTGTATCTTGCTTTCCAAACATCTTTTCAGTGGTAAGACTGTACCATAATTTACCTTATTAATTCTCTTGATTGATGTTTATGTTGTTTCCAATGTGCAATTATTACAAAGAATACTGCTATGAACAACTGTGTTCATAAAGCTGTTTCTGTACTTAAAACTGTTTTCTGAAGATAGAATCCCAGGACTAGAATTAATGGTAAAAGGGCATGAATATTTTGAGGCTATTCATGTGCATTGCCAAACTGCTTTCCAAAAATAGTTCAGCTGTAGGAATTTACACCCTCATTTACTGGGAAATTTCTCCATATCCTTAACAATAGTATTCATTAAGACAAAGCAAAAGTCTAACAATCTGATAAGTCAAATTATATTGTTATTTGAATTTGCACTTCTTTGATAGGTAGAGACATTGCAACATTTTTAGAAACTAATGAGCCACTAACTTTCCTCAATCATGAATGTAAAAGAATTAAATTACAAAAAAAAATCTGGTAGAAAAGATGTAAATATTTATCCTGTCTCTGAACGTAAGTTCTGATTGCTAGCAGTATGCGTACATAAAAATGTAAAATTAATTGTAAAAAATATTTGTAACATCTGTGATAATGTTTATCAAGAAACAGAAAGTCTGGGGCTTTTCTCCTTGTTTTCCTTGTGTTTTTAGGTTAATACAGAAGCCCCACAAAGAATCAGTAAACTGAAGATCCCACGATGAGACCTCAGCGACTCACCCGAAGACCTCACATGCTGTTCCTCACAATGAGATATTGATGGACAGCAAAACGAGGGTCCAGTGAAGAAAGGTAAGGATAACTTTAAAAACATGACAGCATCTAGCAAAAAGCATAGCTAAAGATTTCCAACTTTAACTCAAGATATGATGGGGATTTAGTTAAGCTGTGTCATATAACAGGTCTGTGCGTACGTGTGTGTGTGTACATGTATACATATATATATATACGTACACCAACTTTCTCTTTGGAAGGCTCTGAAAAGCTGGTAATTTTGTTTTCTAAGAGTTGGGAGGACTTCAATTAAATAGGAGGTCTATAAGTAGAGGAAACTGTTTCCTCCCTAACTTTGAAGCTGTGGCCTCTATCAATTGGAGGCATGAAACTGAAGAAGGCCTATTGTGTGTGCCCCTTATCAGGGGCCAGGGGACCATTTGCTAGAGAGGGGCTATCTATCTCCCCTCCCCAACGGCCATCTGTGGTCCATTCCCGAGGTTACCTTCTGCGGGTCATGCAGGCCAATCCACACGGGCTTGCCTCTTTGATAGCCAAGTATGTACTTTGCTATGGTGTGGGCTTCCTTAAAATTCAGGATAGAGGCCAGATGGGATCTGTTTCCATGCAACTGACACTCGAGCTGTGGGCCAGGAGAAGACGTGAGGTTTAGAAGCACAGCCCCCACCTCAGAACCCCAGAGCACCAAGCAGCATGACTCAGCCAGCCCCCACCTCCTCTTGGGATCTAAGCCCCGCAGAAGACTTCCTGTCACTGTGGGAGAAAACACAACTGTCACAGGTGTCAGGCCTCAGAGGAAGAGGCAGCTCTAGGCAAGGGCACGAGCTTCAGGGTCAGTGCCAGCGGCTGGCATCCTAGTCTTGTCTCTCACTAGTGTATGTGACCTTGACAAGTCACTTCACCTCTCTAAGGCTGTCCTTATCTGTAAAAAGGAGGAAGTAGTTACTGCAACACAAGGGAATTATTGCAAGGATAGAATGGTTATAATGATGTATTATAATATTGCATTCAACACATCTAAGAACCCACTGATTGTAAAGTGTGCCATTCTCTATCCAGAGACTTATTGCCCAATTAAATAAATCATTTTACAGACACACATTCTGCAGAGATAGACAGACACATGTACTTTATTTCATGCGCTTTTGGGGTTGTGTTACAGGGTCTGCCTACATGATAAAGCTTCCATTAATTGAATGAAAACATGGTTTTGGCCGTGGTTGCCACTCCAGAGCTTGCCTTTAGGATTGCTCAGGATCAGAGGTAATTACTGTTTAATGACGTTAGTTCTCATACTTGCCAACCACTTTACGATACCAAAATGCTTTTATGCCCGTAATTTCATTTGACTTCAGCTTTGTGAGGCATGGAAACCGGATTACCAGTCAAGGGTTAGTGAGTGTACCAGTCACAAAAGATTCCTGGGACGGAAGAGAGAAACAGGCTTGGAATGGTGAAGTGATATTTTCCCGGTAAGGTCACATGGCTAGAACTCGGAGCTCTGTCTCTTCAGCCCAAGATGGGGTCTACCAACATTTTCACTGTGCCCTCGATCGGCTTGTGAGCCAAGGAGTCTTGTGAACTAGGACTGGCCGTCAATACCGGCTAGGAGTCTGTAAGCACAATGGCCATGGTGTCGGTTTGTCCGGTCCTTCCTGGCACCTCTGCGCTCCGGTTCAGTGCTAAGGCTTGGTATCAAGCCTGTGGACAGTTTTTGCCTTGAAAATCTGAAATGAGCATCCACTGTGTGCTACGGGCTTTTTGCAAGTTCTTTTAATGAATCCTCCCAACCACCCCATAGGATAAAAGTGTTTTATCCCCATTTTTCTGCAGAGAACCAGCAAAGCGAGGTATAGCTGAAACTAACGCACGGCAGACCGTGATTGTGATTTAAACTCAATCTATATTATTCCAAATTCCCACAGATAACTTCCTCTTTGTTTGGCAGAATTAATGTTGGGTGCTCCAGGGACAGGCCATATAAACATCCATCGAGAATTTCTCCAAGTTGCTTCCCAAGAACTAAGGAGAAGCCCATTGCTCCCCACGAACTTTTTTTTTTCCTAAAAACTATCATTCACATCAAGAAAGCGTTGCCTTAGGGTCAGCTTCCCTGGGCTTGCTCTGCTGGCTCCTCTCGGTGTCATCTTGGGAAAGTCACTTAGGTTCCGATGGCATTGCCATTTTCTGTTGAAATGTCATAATCTTGCATCACTTCTGCACTTTTTAAGTCCAGAAAAGAAGGACTTCGGTCTCCTCAGTAGCTATCACGTGGGAGGTGCGCCCTCATTGCTGAGCTGTTCATTACAGGGACGCTGAGGTAGCTCCGGGCCCAGGTCACTCCACGTTTCCCCAGGTGCCCCACCCCCTGTCAGTCACTTCAGTGAAACAACCGCGATGCAGAGAGACAGCAGCACTGCCTCCCCACACTTCTCTGAGGTCACTTGTTCTGGGTGGCTATTTGGGGACCTCTCAGAAAAGCCTCAGTGAAATAAAACCAATGTGTTTGTTGGGCTCTGCAGACCTTAAGGCCTTCCATGGGCTTGGCTTAAAGCTTCACCTTCTGTCAGGTGGCTCTGAGGCCTGTGCTCCAGGCCTGTCTACACGCTTCTCTCTTGCTAGTAAACCTTATATAGCAATTAAATTCTTCTTCTTCGCCTTCTTTTTTGTGGGGGAAGGTAATTAGGTTTATTTATTTAATTTTTAAATTTTTTTAATGGAGGTACTGGGGATTGAACCCAGGACCTCATGCATGCTAGGCACGCACTCTACCACTGAGCTACACCCTCCCCTGTTCAATTATTCTTTCTGTAAGTTCCTCATCTTGGCCTCTTTGGATTCATGCATTTGTCTTTCTCAAGGACAGTTAACTCCTCGGGGGTGGGGCTGTTTCTTGCTCATTGTCCTGTCTTGGCAGCCCATCTGGGGTCTGGGTACACAGCACAGGCACCATCCGTGCTTACAGAATTTACTTAGTTGAGTTCCTGGCCCTCTTCTCTCCATTTCACTGGCCAGGTGATGTCTCAGAATGCCAAGGAAGGACCCTGGATTCTGAGTCAAATGAGACCTGGAGCTCTGGGCGGCTCCTGGCTTTAGAGAACCCTCCCCAAGCACGGGCCACATCTCTTACCTCAGCGTCAGACCAGGTCCTCAGCTTCCGGAAGTATCCGTAGCAATTGGACCTGTGGTGAAACCACCCAGGAGCACAGCTGGGCCTCACGATCTCTGCACACAAACACGAGGCGGTTACAAGTGATGACGGCAGAAACCGTCAGTTCCCACACTTGAGCCGGTTTCCAGACCTGGAAGCCCTCGGGTGGCGGGGAGGCTGTGTGCCCTTGAGGAAGGATCCTTCTAGGCGGCCAAAACTTTGGCCATTCTTTCTCCCAGCCTTCTCCAAAGGGAACTATGGCCTTTTACCAGAGTAACTGTGCCTTGGGGAAAAGGAAATAATCAGCTCTTTGAGGACTGCTGGGCACTGGCCTTGAACTGACACTAATCCCAGGAGATCCCAAGCACCACCGGCGTCTTCCAGTCAGAGCGGGGGCTTGTGGGGGTCAGGTGATCGGCAGCGTTTAACTCAGGACTATTTCATAGTGGACTCAGTGGGTTCCCAAACCATCCTGCAGTGATCTCCCCAGTTGTGGAATTGGAAAAGACATAACTCAGCAACTGGTAGCAAGATCAAACAGCTATAATTTGAGGCATCGCAAGAGTGGATGTGGGGCATAAATGGGTAGTTTTAGACCTTTTTTGGCTAGGAAGATACAGGACAGGTTAGATGGCAACTTGGTTGCAACTTGAGAATGGCGGGGGACTGAAAGTCAGTAGCAAAGAGAGGGGGGCGTTTTAGGCAAAGGGGGTGGGTGAGCAGATGGACTGTGGTTAGAATGAGCAAGATGTGCAGAGAAAGAGCAAGCACTTAAATTTGCCTCCAGTGGAGGGCGTCAGTCAGGCAAGAACCGTAGAAAAGAGGAGAGAGTCAGGGGCTAGAACCCAAGGGAATCGTGACTCAGAGAGGCAAAAGCTCTTCCAGCTGGTGGATGGGTGGATGGGCCAGTCACTGGAACTGAGGTTTATGAAGAGGGGGAGACGGCTGGAAATGCACAGGGCTCCGATGAGGAAGGCAATGCCGAGCTAGCGAGTCTGGGCTTTGTGACAGTGTGGCACTCCACGGATGCTGCAGATGGGCGGCAGGGGTCTTCCCCCCCGTAAATGTCCACAAACTGTTGTTGACACATAGCATCTCCTCTTTCCCCACTCAGAAGACACTGTGTTCCCTGGTGTGCCCCACTCTTCGGTTCTGTCTCATTTCTTGTCTACAAAGCTCCAGGGGCTTCCTGCTGCTTTCCACTAAGCTTTCCGCTCATCTGGGTGCTTAAGGGAGCCCACAGTCTGGTCTTACAGCCCCATCTGGGAGCATCTTCCTGTGCAGCTGCCCCGGCTCCATCGTGGAACACGGTGCTA